GTGTATAGGTTTGCCTTTTGTCCTATTGTTGACATTGAAGATAATATAGTTTGACTTTATGTTTCTTTATGCAATATAATTAACGTTTATAATAGAGATAGCAGTGGACGAACCTATCGGTATGGTTATAGTTTATTTGAAATAATGAATTATATTAGTACACTTTGTGTGTATTGAACGGACCACAGAGGAGAAGTTTATTTTATATTGACCAAGTAAATTAATTTAGACCTCATGATATCACTTGTACTCTTAAGCCGTTTGATAATAATGGGCACGTGTGATTAATAATCGTTCTTTGATTCATATAAAGTGAGACTTGTTCTGTTGAGTCAATAACTCGGTTATTTGATTCGCAAGATAAAAACACATGTTTATCGAACTATTTTTGCTACTTATCCGAATGTGCTTGTTGAATTTGAGAGGAGGTACCTTGGGCTTTGAGAGGCATTTTTTGGAGTCGAAACAGGTCGAAGATTGGTTGAAAATGCTCAAAAATATGCCAAAGATTGGAAAAATAGCCCTAGGCCCGCACTGGCTCGAGGCGGCCCCAAGAAACTCGCCCCCGCGAGTGCCTGTCCGCGAGCAGGGCACTTCCGCGAGCTGCCATGCACTACTAGAGACGACAGCTCGTGCCCGCGAGCAAATTTCCGCAAGCAAGAAAAGTTCCGCGAGCTGCCAGGCACCTCCAGAGACTATAACTCGCGCTCGCGAGCGCCTTTTCGCGAGCAGTCATCTTCCGCGAGAGATAGGTACCATCCAAACCCAAAAACTCGCGCGTGCGAATCATCTCTTGGGCCCGCGAGCGCCAGTATTCACGCGAACCTGTTTCCGCGTCCGCGAGTGCTCATCCAGGGACACCAGCTCGCGCCTGCGATCGCCCATCCGCGCGCAGTCTTCTTCTGCGAGAGCCACGCAACTCCAAACTCGAAAACTCGTGCGCGCGAAGTCCCCTGCGCTCGCAAGCGCCAATCTGCTCGCAAACCATTTCCCGCGCCTACGAGCACCCTCTTGCAAGTCCCCAGCACCCCGTGCGCGCGCCCCGCACTTCGCGCCCGAGGCCCGTGACCAGCGCGCGCTTCCGCGACCCAGCCAGCCCAAGTGGATGTTTTGGGACCGTACGGGTCCGTATGAACTCGGTTTCTGTGCTGTTTTTTTCCTACGTGCACCTAACGAACTGTTATACGAGTCCTACGAATAAATTTTTTCATTTTGTTTCCAGTACTCGAGGTTGACCAATTGACTTGTGGTTGGCCTCGTATATCTTTATCAAGCGAATGAGGAACCGGCTTAGTGGTTGCCCATTACGCTTTTGTATGTCATTGAATGGTTGTTCGAAACATTTTTGATATATATTTACATTTAACGATAAAAAAAAAAACAAAAAATCGATTACTTAGAAATTATAATTAATTACATGGTGTGCTGTCGATTATACTCAGTCACTATGTCCTGCTGCGCTAGGTTGATGATGTTAGTGTATATAATGAAAGCTTGACTTTAGATGCTATTTACGCTATTTCTGTTGAATGATAATTCATGTTTGATTAAAAAAATTCTACTGTGGTGTTGTTTTTCACATAGTTAAATGGTCCATCACGGATGGACAAAAGATCATTTATCACTAACTTGCAAAACATAAAGAAATTGGTTCACAACCTAGATGGAAATTGAACAAGCCACCGATACGGTTATAGTGGCAACGATGCAGTTGATCTTGACTAGTTCGTTGCACTAGTACATTATGTATTGAACGGATCCCAAGAGATATTCGTTTTATGCTGATCGTCGTAAACGAACTAGGCCTCGGCTAATTACTTCATTCTCTTAACTCGTAAGATAAAAACAGACACATGTATGTGGTAGTAACTACTTTGATTCATCATGGTGAGGTTCATTCTATTTGGATCAATAACCGATTGATTTGTGTAGTAATGTTACATGTAGTTGGAGTATACTGTAAAAGTTTGGATTTGTTTTATTCAACAATTCCATTGTGAATGAGATGTGTGATTTTAGTCAAGTGGACGGTCATAGTTAATTTATTTATGCGAACTTTATTCCTTTATTTTACATTTTAGATAATATGGTTCTGGGCCTGGAACAGTACGATCATATTATCAGTTTATTATAAAATATAAATAATGGATCACAGTCTAGACGAGAACTGAACTCCATGTCTTGAAAGAATGTAGTGTGAATCTTGGAATTAGTTGATCTTAGACTAATGGATTATACTAGTACATCCTAGATGTATTGAACAGACCCACAGGATGATAAGATTTTCTTATACTGACCAGGTAAATAATTTAGACCTCGGTGTTTGCTGAGTATTCTTAACCCGTTATCATGGGTGAGACTTATTCTAGTAGGTCAACATACTCGATATTTTGGTAAGTAATGTCGGCTGTGTGATGTGCCGACAATATTTTTTACGATCACCTTATCCGGGAAAATACTAGGTTGATGACGTCAAAATGAGCTCAAGAAGAATTATTATTGTCTGGCCGACAGATTAATTTCCGACATGATAATAAAGAATTGAGTGGTACAAGTTTAGAATTCGAGAGGTTGATTAAATTTATTATCAATAATTTAAACTAATCAGTGGACGCTAAATCTTAAATACGGGGATATAAATCAAGAAATAAATATAGAAACGAATTAATTGTAATTCAGAGTTAAATGGGAAGTGCGATAATATTTATCTAGTGGAATGATTTACTGTTCGAGCATTGAGTGGAGTGGGTTTGGCCTATAGTTGGGCTCATGATTGGGGATCCCATATTTAACACCTCCTTAGAGTCTCTATTGTTGACCTATAAATAAACCAAGTCTCAAGCCTCCAAATATACGAACTCTCATAAGTTTTTTTTTTCTCTTTTTTTTTTNCCACCAGCAACAACCGCACATGGCGGTGTCACTGGCGCATTGGTTAGAGCTCAAGCAGTCTTCAACGACCCAACGCAATCCCCCCCAGCACGGCCAGGCCCGCAGGGAGAAAATAACAACGCGCGGGCTGAGTCTAGCTTGCGCGGCCCGCATCCCTCGCGTCTTCAGCCCGCGTTTGGCCCACGACAAGACCGCTGCGGCCCAGTCTATCAGGTGACCCAGCGTGCAGCCTGTTAGCATTCAACTCCCAGCGCACGACCTAGCAGCGGCCGAACGCATCCCAACAGTGGCCCATACGCGTACAGCGAGACCAATGCGCAGCCCCATGCGACCAGTTAGTCCCCAGCGGCCTAGTATACGACTAGCAATAGCCCAGTTCGGTCTGGCAGCGATCCAATGGTCCAGCTAGCACTGATGAGCCCACGGCAAGCTCAGAGCGGTCTGACTAAGCCATCGGCGGTCCGAGACGGCCCGACACAGTAGCAATTGATCGGAGACGCAAGACAGGAGACACGGTCGAGGTCTAGTGAAGGCGATGCCAAGTTCGGCAACCCAACGGATTCTTAGATTCAGAGGGTCTCCAACAACAGAAATCAGAAACATCTCTGAGTCGAAAATTTTAAAACCATAAGTCTTGATCCTAACAATAGATTGCTGCGTTATGATTTATTTTCAACAGATTCAAATATGTACATCGACGACGTTCCACATAGAACCCAACATATGGTATCAGAGCTCAGGCTTAATTCGTCTTTGTGCACTATTCGAATTAGGAATTGTGTGACACATGTGAATTAGTTTTGTATGGATGCAACACATATTAAATTAGAATTACAAATAAGTGTTTTCTGAAGGTATTCTTGAATCTCCGACTATCGTGGCTTGTTTGTGCGTTTCAATTTGTATATGTTGTTTTATAAGCCTCGGCCATGTCGGAGATTTTTTTGGGTTGGTGAATGTTTGTGATAATATATTCGCGTTGTGGACACCGCACAATTTAAATTCTTTACTAGATCATTTATGTAAAACCCCTGTGTGGGTCATAGGATCGAATATGTAATATTATTATGTTGTTCGATTGACCCTGTTGGATGTGAACAAGCCCGGACGATCAAGACAACGATGACCAACATATCCCGACGAGGCGGAACTAACCGCGAACCCGCTGTAGATGGTGCAAGCGACATTGCGTGCAAGTAGGAACGCCTTCCGGCAGTTTGCTGCTAGTTACGGGTAGTGCCAAGTCATGCGGGGGAGATGTTGAAGGCGACCGGCGACAAGAGCAGGCAATGGTGGTGGGTTAGGCTTGCGCGCGTTCGGCAACCGGGCAAGTGCATGTCATGGAGATATTGAAATTTGTTCGCAGTGGTTCGAGCGCAGTGCATGCAACTCAGGCCTGAGTGCTTATGTAATGCCCCAATCGATTAACAAGAAACATGTCATTTTTATTTAATTTTATGCATTTTATAGCATTTAATTTTATAAGTTAGACTATGTCCTTCGAGATTAATTAGACATTATTTTCTATCTAATCCTTAAGCTAAATGATTTATTTAGACATTATTTTGTATTTAAATTAAGTTAGTTTCACCAATTCCATAGCTATTCGATTTCATTCGGTTTAAATTTTTAATCGAGCCTTGTTGCTAGCCAACTCTTATATCAAGCTTGAGCCCCATTTGGTCCAGCCCAAGAGCCTTTGGACTCAGCCCAAGAGGCTCCCAAAATCCTTCAAATGTTGTCTCAAAGTCATTTTGAAATGTTGGCTCAAAGTCATGTTGGCTCAAAGTCATTTTTTATGTAAGGTAAGATCCTTTGGATCCCAATCACCTTCAATCAGCCACTTTAGCTGATCCATTGACCAGAATTCACGCCCCTAGCTCTCTCTTATTTTAGGCAATTAAGATCTCTCCTTTATTCCCCTCCTTTCCTCTCACCCAAGTCTTGGATATATATTTTTATTTTCTCTTTTAAATTTTTTCGCCCATTCACAGCAAAATTCAGAGCTTCATTTTACTCTCATAAGTCCTCAAAATTTCCCCTTTCTCCCTCACAAAAATTGACCCTTAAGGCCCTGTTCCTTGACACCGCGCACAGCCCCATGAAGCATGGCTGAGGAGCTCGCAGCGTCGCCCTTCGCGAGCAGCAGCACCACATTGCGTCGCCCACGAGCAGTAAAGCTTTGTCGAGGAGAAAAAAGGCCTTCCCTTTAGGCCTTGCACGCAGCCTTTACCGAGAAAGCACCACGTTGGCCGCAAGTGCTTAGCAATCCGATATATTCGAACACACACGCACACACACATATATATTTTTGGTGATCCTCAGCCATCGGAAGCCGCCGTCCTCAGCTGCCAGAGCCACTCCATCGCCGCTGCACACCGCCACGCGTAGCCGCCGAAAGAACCTGCAGCCGCGCCAAGTCCGCACACAGCCGCGAGCCAACACCCGCAACCGCACATAGCCAGGCGAGCCTCGAGCACCGCAACCTCGCCGTCCCTACACGCGTGAAGTTTAGCGACCTCAGTAGCATGAAGATCGCGCGCCCCTGCCTTGCCGCACACGTTGAGGAACTCAGACGCGTTCTCTACTCACGGTAGCTAGCAGTGCTTGACGTCGCCTGACTACCTCGCAGACACAAGGGCCGCGCCCGACGCATACGAGGCCAGCTACCATAGTGCCTGACACGCAGCCTGTCTGCAGCCTCGACCCACAACATTCGACGTGCACCCAGAAAACACCAGATTTTGACCCAACTGAATCTGGACGACCCCTCATCAATATAGAAGGCCTAGTCCAGCTGTCTAAAAGACTCTGCGGTTTAGATGATATCCTACAGAAGAAATCTACAACGTCTCAGAGTCGACAAAATTTTAAACGATAATGTCCCAATCCTAACTCTGGATTCCACAGTGCTAGGATATAATTAGTTAGATTCTGATGTGCATATCGATGACGTTCCTAATAGAAGCCAAGAAGCATATACTCAAGTACCTGAGAAGGACTAAGAAGCACATGTTAGTTTACCTAGCAGATAACTTGTTACCGGTAGGTTATACCGATTCGGACTTCCAATCAGACTCGGGACAAAAGTAAATCTACCGCAGGTTATGTGTTTACACTGGGAGGTGGAGCTATTTCATGGAGGAGTGCCAAATAGAAGTGTGTAGCACACTCCACCATGGAAGCGAAGTATATCGCAGCTTGTGAAGCAGCGGAAGAGGCAGTATGTCCTAAGAACTTTTTGGTGGACTTAGAAGTGATTCCGAGTTTACGACAGGCTGTCACAATTATTATAATAACAGTGGTGCAGTAGCGAACTCATGTGAACCACGAGCCTACAAGGCCAGTAAATATATAGAGCGCAAATACCACCTTATACAAGATATCGTAGAAGAGACGTCTAGGTTGTCAAGATTGTATCGGAGGACAACCTAGATGATCCTTTCACGAAGTGTCTACCAGGAAAAGTCTTCACCAGAAACGTGGAAGGAATGAATGTCGGATGTGTGGTGCTAGGAGCGACATATGTCTTTAGAATTAAAGATTGGAAGTTGTATACTAGAAAAGAATAAGCTTTAAGGATAAGTGGGTGATTGTTAGTGTGTATATTGAAAGCTTGACTTTAGATGTGATTCACACTATTTATGTTGAATGAGAATTATGTTTGATTAATTAAAGTTTTATGTTCTATTGTTTTGCATTTAGTTAAATGGTTCATCACGGATGGACAAAAGATCATTTACCGCTTAATTGTGAAACATAAATAATTAGTTCACAACCAAGGAACTAATCCATTAGAGTGGTTGTAGTGTGGGCGGTACAGCTGATCTTGACTGATTAGCCACACTTGTACACATTGGTCTATTGCACAGATATTAGAGAGGAGCAGTTCATTTTATACTGATTGGCGTAAATGAACTAGGCCTTGGCTAATTGCTGCGTTTATCTTAACCCGTAAGATATAAACAAATACATGTATGTAGTAATTACTTCTTTGATTTAGAAGGTGAGGTTTATTGATATGGACCAATAACCGTCTGTTTTCGGTAGTGATTCCTACATGACATGGTGTTCTGTTATAATATTTATGGTTACCATTTAATTCACATTGTTGAAGTTTGATGACGCCCCCGAAGTGAGTTAAGAAGAATTATTATGTTAAAACCTGCAGGTGGATTAAATTCCGACATAATACTAATGATTGAATGGTGCTAGCATCAGTTATAGAAGTCAATTAATTAATTATCACTAATTAAATAAATTGAAAGACATTATATCTTAGACATGTGGAGGTAAATCGAGTATATTATAAAGTGGAGCTCAAATCATAATTTGGGAATTAAATTGGGAGTATTTCGATAATACTACTGATGGGTTCTCTCCTAGACCTGGATCGAATCGGTCGAAATGAGTTCTGATCTGTCTGAGCTGCCACGAACACCTCCAAAAACCCAACACCGGAGGGGTTTCCGGCGAATGGCCTCTAATGCTTAAGTCAGTACTAGGGAAATGGTGATGCTCTATGAAGAAGAGCAGTATGAAATGTGTATATATTGTAAAGTAGTGATATTGTGATACCTTAGCCTCTTTTATAAGGGAAAAATACCTGCCTAGAATACCCTGCCCGAGTGTCAGCGGTCAGCCTGATCGGCTGCCCGGATCTTCAGTGCTTATTCATATCCTAGTCATCTCCAAGTCAGATCCTACTCACCTTAAGATTCCATCTTATCCCCTTAAGATTCATTTCTATCTCTTAAGATTACCGATCATCGAAGTATAACTTCAATTAGTGTAATCTACAAGCCGCGAAGTGAGTGAAGCCGACCTCAAAATGTGAAAGGTCAACTGGAGTTCTTCATCGGGCAGAGTGGAGTCACTACTGCCCTCTCACTAGGCGTTCTCGGATCCTCCTCGAGATCCTTGAATTACTTGTCTCTTCTCCTGTGTAAAGCTGCCCTTTGATTATACTCATCTTTTCAAGTCATTATCTATCATGAGTTGATACGAAAGATCCCGAGTCGCAGTCACTTCTTCGTAATCGTCATCTTCCTGTGATAATTATCGCAGATCGACACCCTCAACTCGAGTCGACAAGGATAGCTCGACTTACGGTCCGGTCGAGCTATCATTACTTCGGTCTTTGCGAATGTGGCTATATCAACGACCTTAGTGGAATGACTGTATTATTCTTATTAGTGGCTTAGCCTATAGCCAAGTTCTAATAAGAGAAGCCCAATTTAATGACTCTTTCGTCCCTATTGAGGCCTAAATACCTCTTCTCTGTCTTCCAAGACATGAGACACATAAAGGTATCTAGCTACTCCTTCCCACGAACAGAGATTTAGAGGTGTTAAGAAATCTAAGAAGAAATCAAAGGTAGTCGAGGAAACGACCACTGTCGGCCATCACCCGAACGCCATGCACCACCGCGAGCTCTGGTGACCCATGACGTCCCGACGCCCAAGGCAACTTGTTGCGACCTCGCGGGTTCCAAAAAACTCGACGCCGAGACCAGCAAGCCCCTACGCACATCCTCGGCGACCTGCTGCTACCCGTGACGTCCCAGTCCCAGAGATGATCTGCTCTTACTCGCTGCTGCCTGTGCAATTGGACATATTTGTGCTTGGTGATGTAGACCCACAGCGACCGACGCCATGCGACCACGAGAAACACGCGACCCGCTCGACGCCTTTCAGATGCGTGGCCAAGTTTTCGATGCTCGATCGCGTTTCCTAACGCACACGCACGTGACCCATTCGAACCGAGAAGGCCCATCCGACTGCCCAACAGACCTTGTGATAAGACGACCTCCTCCAAAAGAAATCTATAACGTCTCAGAGTGGGAAAAAATAATAAACCGCGAGTCTCTACTTTTCCCTATAGATCCGCTGCGTATAGATAATTTTGTAGTTAAATTTGTAACTTGTACATTAGCGATGATCCTTGTAGATCCCAACATAGACATCCCCGAATGATGCTTATGAAAAAAGGTGAACTGCTGCAAAAAGGACGTGCATGAGGCATGACCAGTTGAGATTTTATCCTGCGACGCTAGATGATAAAAGGCCACATGATTCGTAAACAGTAGAAACTCAGTATGGAAGAGGTAGTGTCGCCGATAATGCACGGCACCGACGACAACATTGAATTCCACATTGTAGGTGTTATAGCGCAAACAAGGTCCTGATAAATTTTCACTAAAAAATGCCACGGGACGCGCCTCTTAACTAAGGACTGCACTAATGCCCACTTTCGACGCGCCGCATGACAACTCGAAAGGGCACGAGAAATTGGGGAGCATAAGGACTTGGCCAAAGTCAACTTACGCTTGATGAGTTCGAAAGCGTTAACTGCCTACGGTGTCCACACAAACATCTTGCCCGCAAGATAATCCGTGATAGGTGTCGTGATGGAACTAAAATGGGAGATAAAGCACCGGTAAAAGGAGGCGAGGTTGTGGAAGCTGTGAGCTTCAGTAAATGACGTTGGGGTCGGCTAATCGCGAATAGCCACGAATTTGCTCTCATCCCCGTGAATCCCGTCAGCCGAAATCACGAACCCGAGAAACAACACGGAATCTACCATGAAGAAACATTTGGCCGGGGTGCCAAAACAGGAGTCCTCATGCAAGATAAGGAGGACCTCACGTACATGGCGTAAATGCTCCTTCACCGACTTAAACAACGACAAAAGATGATCACGTTTGTCTAAGAACGCCCTTACAATTTCTTCGGCATCACTTCGCCTATCTGTCGTATATTTTATTGTATAATGATATCGAACTTGCTTAATTATTTTTGTCTTTCTATCGCATGGTTAATCATATAATTATTATGCGCTTGCTCAATTAACTTTGTTTGTGTGTCGCATAATAAGATCACACTTTTTCGGTTATCTTTATATGTTTGTCGCATACTCTCATAATTATTTCACACTTTATGCGCTTTTATGCGACATAGTATATCGCATAAATATTTCACAGTTTATTAATTATCTTCGCTCTGTATGTGAGCATGGTTTATCGAATAAATATTTCGTACTTTATCAATTATCTTTGCCTTTTTGTAGCATATTTTATTGCATAAATATATCGCACTTTATCAGTTATCTCTGCCTCTCTCTCGCATAGTTTATCGCATAATGTTTTTCTCACTTATTGCAGTGAAAAATTAGGGAAGGTGTATTTTTTGAGATTTCGNTAAATTTTTGAGTTATGATTTAAAGTATGATTTCATTTATGTTTTTTCTTTCAATATCCTAGCAAATCTTAAAAAAATTTGACAAACCCTAATTTCAAATAATTTAAATATATCACAATTTTGTAAGACTTTTATAATTTAAAATGAATATCTCAAAATTTTTAAAAGTCATAAAAAATCTAAATTAAATACACTAAAATTTATAAATTCTTGAAATGTTTTTAGTAATTTCAAACGAACATCCTTTTAATTTATTAATTCACGGTGTGAAAAACGTCAACACATGCTCATGCTCAAAAACGGGTGGAAATAACTACTTCCTATGTTCCTATATATATATATATATAACATATTAACGTTCGATTTGAGCCTCAATTCATCTCTCAATACCCACACCCACATCCACACCCACACCCACAAAATACGCTTAGAGCCATATACAATGATAGATTCGCTTTTATTAGCCATTATCCTCTTTCTCCCGGCGTNCCACCACTTCCTCCGGCGAGTTCATCCGCAGCAGCTGCGATACCACCCTCTACCCCGACCTCTGCTTCCACTCCCTCTCCGCCTATGCCGGCGCCGTCCAGAATGACCCCGCCCGCCTCGCCGCTGTTGCCATCGGCGTCAGCCTGTCAAGCGCCGCCCGCACGACGGCCTTCCTGTCCAACCTCACTCGCCAGGCCGACTACATAGACAACCCACGGGCAGCCTCCGCCCTCCGAGACTGCCTCTCGGTTTTCAGGGACGCCATGGACCAGATACGGGACTCCCTCCGGCAGATGCGGAACCTTACGGGGACCGGCGAGCAGCTGATGTTCCAGGTCAGCAACGTGCAGACGTGGATGAGCGCAGCCCTCACTAACGAGGACACGTGCACGGATGGGTTTGATGACGTGGGAGACTGCCCCGTGAAGGCGAATGTGAGCGACCGGGCAGTGTGGGTGAGGGAGGTCACCAGCAATGCGCTGGCGCTGGTGAACTGTTTCGCTGCTAAGGTGACGGGCCCGTGACAGTAACACCCCCACGATGCTTTAATTTAGTTGCTGAAGTATTTCTGTGAGGACACGTTTTAATTTAATTTTTTTTTCTTTAAATGTGGTGGGTACTGGGGAAAAATGAAAATCGAATTAAAAGATGTGTATAGTTAGTGAGTGGAGGAAAAGCAGTACATGATTTGATTCGGTGGTTTTTTATGGCATTAAATTTTAGTTTTTATTTAGGAGTATTCTGTCATATTGGGTTGAGGAAGGTGCGATTGTTATTTAATCTTTTGAGCACTTACTTTTTCATTAATGGAGTGGCGGTTTTACTTTGTATTGTACTTATGGAGATATATGCTTCGGTACCATGCGTGCCATGATTGAGATTTTAATTTTTTAATAACCCTCAAGCAAGAATATTTGTATTTTCTACTCGGATCATCATAACTTGAGCTGCCACAAACATATATATATTATTATATGTAAAAGCAATGGTGGCCATAAAATTTTTAGGCATGAGACCGAGGACCATCCATTTTGAGGGAGAAGCCACCTATATAGTTTTTGGGCGAAACAATATGACAATAATCTTAAAAAGATACTTATTAATCGTAAATTAATCCCCATCTTTTATGTGTTGGCAATCTAAGCAAAATTTTTGTATAATTGTAAAATAATCCCGACCTTATCTAAATTTTGCGACAAAAATCCAACTTCCGTCACACAACAAATTTTTAGAGCTATCTCCAATGAATCAAGGATTGCTCTATTCTATTGTCACATTGATCCAAAAATTCAATGTGGCATCTGAAATATGTACAAGTTTTTTTAAATGTAGAAAGACTTCTAGACATTTTCATTCTATATTATATAATTTATATTATATTTTTTTTTCGACCAACCAATTATTATCTTATATGTGTAAAATTATTGCACAATTGACATTAACCATTAAAGACAAAATGTTTTTATTTCCTTTCTTCACACCATGCATCTCACAAAGACATTGTGCCATTAGAGATACTCTTAATAGTGCGCATGCCAACTTTGCCTATGATAGTTTCTGAAACGTATATATTTATCGCGAGTGCGCTCAACTTTGTAAGAACAAGAATAAAAACTAAATATAGCGGAAACAATAAACTGAAGATTTAAAAACTCTTCAGGGAAGCATCCCACTTCCCCTCAGAGCCTTTCATTGATAACTCTTACGAACATAGTTTGGTCTTATGAAAAACTAGAACTCCCTTCTAGTCTAGCCACAACTATGAATCGACCTATCAACTACTTCTCCGGCCACGTTCCGTGGACTTATTTTTAAACACTTACTCCCTAAGTGTAAATCACAAAATGTCTGAATCAGAATAAAGGAAATACAATCAAAATGATTTCAGTTCTTCGATGTCTGATTGTACCGAGAACTGAATTGAAAACAAAAATGTAAGCACACAAATCTTGAAGCTCGAATGTGGCGTGTGTAAGTGACAATCTCAGCAACCCTACTTCGATCTTCAAGGTGAGTATTTATAGAACTCCTTCGTGTGGAGTCTTTTCCAAGACACTTGATTTCCTTCCAAGTTTATCCAAAGTCCCATAGAACATTAGGACTCTTCTTTCTCTCTCCTAAGCCCTTCTTTCCTTAGCAAGTCGATCTTCTCTTGATCTCGTGCGTGTCCTCCATAAAGCCGCAACCCTATAAAACAATACCATAATAAGATCATGCAACTTAATAATTAAATAAGTAGAGAATTCGCACACATATATAAGTAAACAAATAGACTTCTTTTATATAGATTCCTTGTGCTTGTAAGAACATATCTTCAATATATTGATTTTTGAACTCATGCCAAAAATAATACTCTTTCCATCTATGATGTAACCTTCTTTTACAAAGGTCAAATCTCACTTGCTCAGAGATGTACTAGACTCGCCTACCTTACCTTTCAATTTCAGATCAAGAAAGTTCTTACTCAGATCCGCGGTAGTCATTTGTTGACTCATCCTTTGGACTTCAGCAAACGAGGACTTGGACTTATTAATCATTTTGATGATTTCATCACTCTTGCTGAGCTTTTCTTCCATGGTTGCACATACACTTTCCTCCACTTGACCAAGTTCTTCTTTGAAAACACCGATCTCGGTTTCCCTTTCACCCTCAAGTTTCTGCACAGCAAACAACTCATTACGCAAGGATTCAATATTAAAGTTCTTCTCACCACTTACCTGCTTTCTCAGTTTATCGTTGTGTTCAAGTAGAGCAGTTTTGGCATGACCACTATTGAGATCCTTGTCTTGCTTTCTAGCCTGAAGATCAAATTTGATGAGCTTCTCATTCAACTCAATGGTCAGAACTCTCATCTTCTGAAGTTCACTCCTGAGATAAGTGATCTCCTTCTCACGTTCTACTGATCGTTGTTCCAATCGCTTCATCTTTTCAGTCTGGGCTTGATACTTCTTGATGATTTTGGCAGCTTTGAGACACTTCTCTACAGCATACTTATGGAGCACAAGGTTCTCTGCAGCAGGATCGGAGAATTCCTCAGGTTCGGAGTCACTCGATTCTTTAGTGTGAGAACCTGCATCAGATTCGACATCAGTAAGATGCACAAATGATGTAAAGCAGTTATAATTATTAGGAGGATATATAGCCAGATTATTAGTATAGTGAGAGTTTTCAGTATTCTCAGATTCTTCATCCTCGTCTTCGCTGCAGTGGGACCATGTTGCCTTATAAGTCTTGTTCTTCCTCTTGAAGTTAGGGCATTCTTTCTGAAAGTGGCCGAACCCTTTGCATTCTCGACAGTGATCTTTTTCAACGCCTTGATTAGCGTTCTGAAACTTGCTCAACTGCATATTGGGACGCCGATCACCCGATTGTTGGATCATGTTCTTACTTCCTTCAAAGGGTTTGTTTCCTTAAAATCGTTTCTTCTGAACCTTCTTCAGTTTTGAGACATTTTTAGTAAGAACCGTGAGAGCCTTCATAATCTCATAAGCATAAAAGAATTCTTCATTCGGATCATCCTCTTGAATTACCGCTGTGCGAACCTTGGCTTTAGCAAGGCCTTTTCCTTTGGCTAACTTCATTGAGTCAAAGTTGTGTTTTATTTCAAACGTGCGTAAATCGCCAAGGAGATCATCAATGCCAAATGGTTAAATTCTCTAGAAACTCTCAAGAGCTGTAATCTTGATTCCAAATCTGTCCGGCAAGGTTCTCATCAATTTCTGTACTTGTCTCGCCTCCGATATGTGTTCACCAAGCATTGCACTTCAGTTTACAAGATCACAGAAACTAGGATAGTGCATGTCAATAGTTTCATCATCTCTCATCCGAATCTCGTCAAGTTCAGTCGTAATCTCTTGAAGCTTCGAGGATTTCACAGCGTTCGTACCTTCGAACTGCCTCTCAAGAATCTTCCATGCGTCGTAAGCTGTAGTGAACTGAATAATCATCTTGTGACGCGTTGGATCCACAGCCGACATGATAGCATATAGTGCACGAAAATTCGCTTCTTCAGCTTGTCTTTCTTCATCAGTCCAAAGATCTCTCGGTTTTTCGACTAGAACTTGATCAGCCGAGGTCGACGACAAGGATTCACTTGCCTTAGTTTCCAGTGGAATTTTTTTCATAAGCGGTATAGTCTATCCTGACTCAACAACTTGCCAGGTTCCTATTCCCAAGGAGCGAAGAAAGATGACCATCATGGACTTCCAGTATCCATAGTTCGAACCGTCGAGGAACGGAGGGCGCGAAACAGACATATCATCGTGATTCATGGTGACCAACCCAAAGGGCCCAAAGATCTTTATCCTGTGATTAGAACAGGAACACTGCTCTGGTGCCAATAGAAACGTATATATTTATCGCGAGTGCGCTCCACTTTGTAATAACAAGAATAAAAACTAAATATAGTGGAAGCAATAAACCGAAGATTTAAAAACTCTTCAGGGAAGCATCCCACTTTCCCTCAGAGCTCTTTCATTGATAACTCTTACGAACACAGTTTGGTCTTATGAAAAACTAGAACTCCCTTCTAGTCTAGCCACAACTATGAATCGACCTATCAACTACTTCTCCGACCACGTCCCGTGGACTTATTTTTAAACGCTTACTCCCTAAGTGTAAATCACAAAATGTATGAATCAGAATAAAGGAAATACAATCAAAATGATTTCAGTTCTTCGATGTCCGAGTGTACCGAGAACTGAATTGAAAATAAAAATGTAAGCACACAAATCTTGAAGCTCGAATGTGGCGTGTGTAAGTGACAATCTCAGCAATCCTACTTCGATCTTCAAGGTGAGTATTTATACAACTCCTTCGTGTGGAGTCTTTTCCAAGATACTTGATTTCCTTCCAAGTTTATCCAAAGTCCCGTAGAACATTTGGACTTCTCTTTCTCTCTCCTAAGATCTTCGTTCCTTAGCAAGTCGATCTTCTCTTGATCTCGTGCGTGTCCTTCCATAAAGCCGCAACCTCCTACAAAACAATACCATAATAAGGTCATGCAACTTAATAATTAAACAAGTAGAGAATTCGCACATATATATAAGTAAACTAATATACTTCCCTTATATAGATTCCTTGTGCTTATAGGAACATATCTTCAATATATTGATTTTTGAACTCATGCCAAAAATAATATTCTTTCAGTTTCTGTCTTGCTGAGCAAGCATAAGACCTTGCTTCGTCACTATAAAAACCATATGAAATCTCCGATTTCACTATGCATCCCAATTTGATTTCAACAATTCCTCATATCAGTTCTCTAGTATGCTTAACGCCATTCAAAAAAATGCCGCCTTTGTTTCTCGCAAGTTACAATATTCAAAGTGGTGGGAGCTTCACCGTTCCTAGGATGATGTTTTGTTGCGATGGTAAAGAAGTCAATATGTTGATGTTGTGTTATGATGTTTTTGTAATTCTTATAATTTTTTTTGTAATTAATTAGATGTGAATTTTTTTAGAAGACGGAGTAGAATTAGGGAAGGAATTAGATAGAGATGAAAGAGAGGAGAGGAATATTTCT